GGGAGCCGCCTCTGGCTGCAGCCGGGGAGAAGGGATGAGCAGCGGGCACAGGTTTCTTCGAGACTGCTCTTTTCATCTGCAACTAGGGTGTAAAAGCAGCGTAAGTGTGCGGAATACCCCTGGCTTTGTGCGTGGATTCCACTTAGGGGATCCCCGACTGAGCTGTCTGGAGCTCTTTAATCCTAGCACGGTAAAAATGCAGTGTGGGAGAGAGCTGCAGTCGTGGTCATAGTATTGCTATATTAAAAAGGGGCAGGGAGAGAATTGATATGGAGTTTTGTGAAGGGAGAGGATTTGCCCAGTCCTGCAGAAAGTGGATAAAACTGGATGCAGAAGGAACTGCTTCTGCTCTCCAGCCTTATGCACTCACAGCAGAACATGTGGTTCCTGAGGACATCTTTCATCATGCTGGTTTGCAAGGAACTGCCGGTGATACAATGGTAGCAGTATCCACAGCCAAAACCCTTGCTTGTTGATAAGTTGGCTAGAGTGCACATTCCTGAGTTTACCTCAGCACACAATGCTCCGTAACGTATTATTGTCATTTAAACATGTACGTATTTCTCCTCCCCACAGGCACTTTGAGGCAGGACCTTGTTTCTTGTGGTGTGTTCATGATGTGTTCATGAAGGGCTTAGCACAGGAGACAGCAGACCAAGGCACAAACCTCTAAATGCTATTATTTGCAAGCAAGTGACAGTAATGGGATATCTTTCCAAGAGTCCACCATGTGCAATGAAGAAAAGTTCCTTGGCATAACTTCTTCTCAGCCATGCATAGTTAGCTCTGCCATCCCCATCACCCATGTGTCACAGGGTCATCATATTTAGCCCATTGCTCAGTAAAACCCCTCAGCACACCACTGCTCTGTAGCTGTGTGCATAGCCTTTTGCGCAGACCGTGATAACTTTGTACTGTTGTATCAGTCATGTGGGGACGTTGATACATATGTCACCCTCGTGGCTCACATCCTCCTTTCCACCATGTTTTTGCTTTGCATGTAAAGTAATGAAGTAAACTAAACTCACTTCTCTTGCTTGGTTTGTCCTTCCAGATCTAATTGGCTTTACACAGGCAATGCTCCTGAAGACTGTATGATAATTCCTGGTGGCTGAAAGAGGAGGCACATTGGAGCCTGTACAGAAAAGGAACAAGAACAAGAGGGCAAGAGCTTCCTACTGCCCCTCTGGCAGAGGTACGAAGTGCGTGGCCTATCTGCAACGCAAGCAAAGGACTAGTTTTCAGAAAGTAAGCAAGACTGAGAGCCACCTCAAGGCACTTGGAACTCGAGAGGAAGAGGAGTGGTGCCAGCATGGATAAGGACAGCACAAACCTGGCTGACCAGCAGTATGAATATGTGGCCGAGATTGGGGAAGGGGCCTACGGAAAGGTGTTCAAAGCCCGAGACTTGAAGAACGGAGGTCGCTTTGTTGCGTTGAAGCGGGTACGGGTGCAGACCAGTGAGGAGGGAATGCCACTGTCTACCATCCGAGAGGTGGCGGTTTTGAGGCACCTGGAGACGTTCGAACACCCCAACGTGGTCAGGTGAGGAGGTGGGACCAGTGTCCTGATCAGTGGAGTCCTGGGTTTAGTACGTGAATTGGGCAAGCAAGAGTTTGGGGACCTAAATGGAATGGACACTAATTTGGGTTAGTGGCTGAAGTGAGCACTAAACTGTGTACGTGAAGTGTGGTTTGAGGTTTCAACAGGCCATGGTGCTGCCTGCCAGACCTCACCTCATCCCTGTGCATTGCTTCCCACACACACAAACACCTATCTCCAGAGGCATAGGTATGTGACTTGTGTTGTAATGGATGGGCAAGGAGCCATATATACATTATTTCCTCAGGCATAAGAGAGGATGAAAAAAAATCTCCCTGGTTTTGTCTGAACTATTAGTACTGCCAGCCAGCTGATTTTTAGCAGCTTTGTTCATTACAGAAATGGCAAAAATGAGAGCAGTAATAAAATGTGCATTCTGCCTTTTTAGATGGTTTTGTAGAGAGCTGTAGATTATCATGTTAAACAGAAGTAACAGCTTAAGACCTGAAGCTTTGCAGGCAGCCTCATGGTTGAGTCCTCTTTGACTGGTACTAGTTTCACTATGTGCTGCTGATTGTGCTATCAAGAATGCAACAATACAGGTGTCAGACCTTGCTTGTAAAATGGTGGCAGTGACCCCATGATGTCCCTTCTGTCATGTCAATAGCATAAACCCTGGATAAATGATGTGTTCTCAGTGATAAAGCTAGCCCTACTTTGACCTCTTAGATTTTTCTATAGCTGGAAACCTCCAGCAGCCCGTGAGCATCTTTTATTAATACTATAAACTTTGAGAGGTAAGGTTCTCTTTGAAGATACCCAGATATGCAGTGATTTCAAACTGGTCAGCATCTTGCTGGTGGTGCTGTCTTAGCAAGACTATTTCCTGTTCTTCGTGTTGTTGTAAGCATATATTGCATAGCAAAAGGAAAATATTTTGCACCTCACTAACACCAGGCCTAGAGCAATAGACGCTGGAGTTAGAGGTGACCTTCAAAATGCTTTGCACCTGTAATAATCCTTTTTTTAGGGTCTGAGATGAGGGGGTTTTATTAGGTGCAAGAGGAAAAATGAGGCAGAAAATAATATTCGAAACTCAAAAGTCAATAGCTAGAGATAAATTAATTTTTATTCATTTTAAGGCAGCATAATGTAGCAGTCTTACTTATGTCAAAACTGAATAGGCAAAGTGTTTGTATTCCGAAATACTGATAATGGAGTGCGTGTCATCAGTCTCACTTCAGTGAGCAATGGGATACAGACTGCAGCTCACACTTCCACTGCTAATCAAGCAAATCCACAATTTGCTTAATAAACATTATTTTGCCTGGCACTTAGTAATGCCAGGGGCTTAGTAAATAAATTTTAAAAGTGGGGATATCTTTAGATGGACAACATATATTTGATCACCATATCGAGGGGCTCTGTTTACGGAGGAGTGCACACAGAGTTCTTCCTTGGCAGTAGAGAGATAATTGGGAGTTCTCAAAATCTCTGAAATCCAGCCCATTAATTTATGAGAATAAATGAGGATTCAGTTGTCCAGGTTTAGACATTTACACGTTTGGAAAGTGTAGACCTTGTTTGGGAATAATTCAACATAACAATACTTATGAATTTTTCTGCCATTGAGGTCTTTCCATGTGAAGTAAAAGATTTTTTTTAAGAGCTTTCTAGTCTTGAATTCAGCAAAATCATGAAAATAAAGTTCTTGTTTTCCAAAGAGCTATTTGATGAACTGACTATGCCGCTGCAGGCTTCTTTTGCTTGGTTTAAGTGCAGTCGAATCTGGACAGATCGTTGCATAAATACATTGAAGCTTCAAATATTTTTACAAGCTTGAATGAAAACTAATTCTCTGCAAAGCAGTAAGTATTTCAACCAGCAATATGAGAATGTAATTTCAATATAAAGATCTCTGAAAGTGTGTTTCAGGTCCTCATAGTGGTGTTGTGAAGCCTGTGCTTTTTGCCATAAGCAGCATTTCAGACACAAGGACTTGGTCTGTGATGAATCGGGGTGCCTGGGATCTTGGCTGCACACCTTTTTCCACAAACAAGTAGGAGAAGATGAGCAATTTCAAGCATTATCTCTTCTAAAATGTGAGGAATGCTATTCAAAAACTCACCTCTTTTGTGCATGTTTTTAATCTGTAGAGCCCTTTGGAGTGACTGAAATCATATCCTTAAAATAGAAAAAATATTTGAGAATATTTAAATGACCCAGTTCTGTTACAAAATACAGAAGAGTTTGCAATTTATTGAAATTAAACATCTATTTTTGTATTATGTAAATATACTCAGAGAGAAGGAAATAGTGTAAAAGAAGATCAGCAGTTCTAAGTTGCTGAGCTAACTCTACTTAATTATTGAACATATTGTGCTCAAAAAATGTTCATTGTTTGGACATGCATTCTGGAAGCTGCTGTCATGGCCAGGCTACTAAATAAAAACAATGCCAAATGCATTGTCTGCTTACTGGATTAAAATGTACATTGTTTTCAGAGCACTAGGATAAGAACACCAATATTTAACATCAAATGTTTTTGATTTTGAGGGGATATCTGAGCTTTTTTCTGAATATTACAGGTAACTAGCCTGAGAACTCAGTTGGAACTGCGAATATGTTGTATCTGTTACCTCTGAGTAGTGACATGTGTGATCCATGAGTTGCTCAATGCCAACCAGTAGTCATTCTGTGAGTCAAAGCCTAGACTTTAAAGCGATGAGCTGCATACACCTTGTGCTCAGCTGTGGTACTCTGGCATCAGCTGATGGCAGTGGCAGAAATCACAAGCCACATGAACGTAGGCTGAGTGTCATGCTCAACTCAAATGTGGAGCACAGCAGCCCAGGGCTTCTCTGTCACCCTAAAGTGGTGCTAAACATGAAGAACAGTTTCAGAAGGAAAGCCCCAGTGCTACCAGGCAGAAGTAGAGCTCCATGGCTTTATTGGTCGTAGAACCAGGATTCAGGACCAGCATTGCTACTGCAGGTTTGTCATAGTGATTGTAGATTCACTTCGTCTGAGAAATGGTTAGAGCCAAAACTGATTCCTAGTGCCTGGCATTAGCATTGGAAGAGAATTTTCTACGTAAAGGAGAGATGTCTAAATAGCACAGAATAATTTTAAACATAATATTTATCATATTTTTCCATGCTACTGTTTGCTAATTATGAGAAGTTTGTTTCATGTTCCTTTGCTCCAAGTCTGTAGTCATACAATGAAGAGATGCATTTTTTACAGCACAGGTGCTTTTACAATGGTAGATAATGAAATAAGATTTCACTGCAGAATAAAGAAAAAAGTTGCAAGAAAAGAAGCAAAAGGAAATAAGATATTCAACAGAAAAGTGATGTTAGTGGAAATCTCTGAACTATAATGGAAGTAAGGCCTTGAGGACTGATCTAAAATTTTTCACTGTCAAGAATGGTGTATAGGAAGGCATGGGAAAATGCAGTTAAAAGGATAATTGCAATGTGCTTAAAATCCTCTCCTCTTCACATTTACCCTTTGTATAGAGTTCCTCTCCACCAGGACGCCTTACTCTATTTATCTTCACAACCCAAAGTTAAAAATAGAATCTTCAAAAGTAAATATTACTGTGAATTCCTCTAAAACTAGGTATGTCATAGGCTTGGAAAAGTCCCTTTTAACTGGTAGGGTGATTAAGATGCTCCTCTAGCTCACCTTTCAGATCATAAGATGTAGTGCTTTACTAAAACTTTACTACATACAATAAGTAAATCTGACAAAAATTGGTCCAGCGCTTACATAGTTTAGTGCTGTTCTGTTTGGGCAAAATTAAATATATGTAGATAAAGAACAGACTTTACCAGGAGTAAATGACACATTAGCTTCAGGAAACTCTTGTGTGTAAAACTAGGAGTATTCCCTGATGCAATATATCTGTAAAAATTCTTCTTGTGATTATAATGCTAAATTCAGCTATATATTGCATTCAGTTTATCTCTCTCCTGCTGGTAATCAGAGGAATAATTTTCCCCTAATCTTAATCATCCATCAAACTGAATTCACACTCTGGGAAGGTGATATGCAAGACGGATTACTGTAATTCTTGCCATGCTTGTTTTCTATCCTATTTATATTCAACAGTTTTAACAGTGCTTCAGCAAATAGAACAAAGCTGCAAAGATGTGTATTTTTGCTTCCTATCTCATAATTTTTTAATAAATACAACTTCTTTAGTATTTTCATGGGTTAGTAAGTGATCGATTTTAAAATTACCAACACTATATTGAATATGACCTATTACAATGTAATCTAATCTGGGTTATTATTTCAAAAGAAAGTGTCAGAAATCTTGCCATTCAAGGTGATTATAGCCATATAAGAAGGAATTAAAAATCTTAATTCTCTCCTTCCTGTTAACTTGCAAAATAGATGCTCCAGCTGATTGATTTAGGTTAACTCTACTCCTCACTCTTTTTGGTATACAAATCAGTGGAGGGAGAACACAGTAGTTATGAGTATTTGCACAATTATGCCATGTTCAAGGTTTTATGTTATTTTATATCCATAAATGACACCATAAACTGCCCTCTGAGGTACAGCAGTACTCTCATGCTGCTTTTCCCTTACTTTTGCAGTCTAGTGGTCCATGATGTTATCTCTTGGTTTACACTTGAGTGCTTGATGGAGCCCATCAACTGTTTCCCTTGGCAAGGCAATCTGAGTGTGGGGGGTTTGGGCACACGTCACTCCCCCATCCTCATGTACCCTGACATAAAGACCATCACTTACTTGACCTTGCTCAAAGGTCCCAGAACTGTATAAAAGGTTTGCTGCTTAAAATTTCCCTATACTTAGAAGGTATCTTTTTATAAGTATCTTAACATTCCCTGTCTGACCTGATAAAGCATTCAGAACATGTGTATAGCGGCTCATCAATACCTAGCTGACCTTTTGCGAGGCAATTTGAATGTGTAGTTGTTTTGCTTTTTTCTCTTTGTTGAAATGAAATGATGGAGGAACATAGAGAG